TCAAAGAGTACATCAACTGTTCATTATAAATAAGTCCAGATGACTGGAATTACAATCAATTTTACATGCTAACAATGAAGAGTAAGGTGTGGATCCCACGCACATTTGATGCATGTTGGTATTTAAACCTAATGTCGAAAAACTGTTATTTTCCTATCAAATTTGACCCCATTTAGCACATAAACAATACCATTTATTTGAAATCAAATGAGTCACTGGATCTACTTCTTAACGCCCTTGTTGATTCCATCACTAGTGACTACAAAGAAATGTCGCACACCTAACAGTACAACAATGAATCATCAATCAATAGAAAGTCATGTATATATTGTAAATAACAATTTACCATATTTGCATACAAATAGTGCTAATTTGAAGTACCACCGAGAATCAATTACCTAACTAATTATGTTAAATAAGTTAGTTGCGCCATAGCAATGTATTACAAACTGGAGAATACTTAAAAATTCTCAATTAAGTATAAGCACCCACTCATCTATTTTTAAGGCTTAATTAACAAATCTATTTATAATGAAGAAGCCACTTTAAAATTAGAATTAAGAATCTCTTCACTTCCTGACTTATTTTAATTGTCTCATTTTTCTTAAACGATGCGGTGCACATATGCTTACAGTCTATCTAACAGACTTGCATATAAAAATTTGGAAAAATCTCCAAGGACATTATGTTACATACATGATACACAAAGCGAATATTAACTACTTACTTATAAAGTTAGCATCCAAATATGTATAACAAGGTCACTATGTATATTGTAAATCGAAAAAAAAGGAAAATTTCAATCTGTGTCGTCCGTTTGAGACTGTAAACACTACAAGTTACTGGAAATACACAATTCATCAATTTGAAGGTGAGCAAGTCTTGCAAATCTATTCGTTATTTTGATTTGACAAACATTACATAAAAGCAGCTATAATTCTGATTGGAAACCTTGCCGTAAGAAGGTGCACATCCTGTTCTACCCACATCACTCCAATTTGGGCTTTTTTACTCCCTCAACATCGCCGGCAAAAATATAACAACTGGAATTAAATCTGCAAGAGACGTCACCGGAGAATTTCTAATGAGGTAGTCGGAAATGTCAGCCGTGATTCTGTGTAGAAATTTAAATTCCAGTCCTTCCACTTTTGAATTTTGTCAATGAGGATTGAATTTTCAAAATGTAATTAGTGACAACAAGTTTTAAACTACCTTAGTTGTTCCGAGTGGTTAAAAGTAGCATGGCACATGTTAGTGAGTGACGTTATGTAATAATTTGGTTATAAATTTTAAATAATTAATATAAGTCGTACTCACGCACCTTCTTCCATAGTTGTTTCGGCCATGATTTTTTCTGATGTTTTGTTTTGTTGCCAAGGTAACGAAACTGTCACTTCGTCAGTGACAGCGCTGCCAACTGCCGATCACCTTTGAAATCAACTTCCGTACGATGTGTTGCCTATACACACTTTTTAAAGCCGATATACAATGAAAAATTTTACTACCCTTATGCAAATTGCGTGCTCATTCCTCAATTCCTGGGCATATTTCAACTAGGGTGTATGAAGTAATAGTTGCGGGGTGCTTTTTAAAATAGCTAAAAATAGGAAACATTAAAAAAATCTTGTGAAGATATAAATATTTATATTTTGATTTTGTAAGCAACAGCGATGACCATCGATTAACTTGAAGATGGTGCTGTTCTCAACACTCTTAGGGTGCATTTCCGTTTAAAAGGGATTTATAAAATTGAGAGAATATTGAATTTTTTAAAAAATTATTTCGGCGTAGGAGGGGTTCTTCAAACAATTTTGCTTTCCTTAATTATTCACATTGATCTGTCATTATACACCGGAAGGTAACGAAACATTATCACAAACAGAACCGCATACTAAACATAAAAAAAAGTCAATTAGAAGGCCCCCTCCCTCTCGTATTGCCAAGACACAGGAGCTGTAGTACACACGAGGTAAGAAAGCAACATGATAGAGCGAAGACCATCGGAACTATACGAGATACTTTTTTCATGGATTAAATGATATATCACACTAATAATATACTTCCACGTAAATACATAAATGCAATAAATAAAAACAATATCAAGGCATATCCGCCTGTAGCTACAGTATAACTAACAAACATGATACAGTAATGGTGCATATAAAACAAGCTTGGAGCACGACATTTCAATAAAAACATATCTGCAAAACGTACATAAATTTAAAAATTAATTGAACTCAAGAACTCCATCCAGCTGCCATGTTGCATCGAAAATTCAAATTAAAAGTCATCAAATACCCATACAATTGTAGTGTAGGCAACGCACAATACACGTATGAGGTATGACACACTTTTCCATATGAATGTATAGCAGAAAGTCGATGCAAAATGGCCGCCGATCTCAACAACCAATCAAAAATTAGACACTCTAAAACTCCACTCTGTCGTATAAGTGACTGTAGTCCAGTGTGCGTCTTAATAATGTAATTTTTCTCACTTCTGCCGACTCTCAGAAACATTCATCATGATGATCGATCTAAAAAAGTCGACTTTCTATGAATTTTAAAGGTAACACCATAGTCTTTGCTATATTTTTGGCGCATTTTTTTAATAATTAAAGAAAATGTGCTATTGTTTGCGTTTTGTCCGTCCGTCAGGACCAACTTCTGCCGTTTCGAACTAGGTCCTAGGGTTCTGGAATTTTTTGCAGTAGGTAGCCTGTACCTTGAAGGTGTGCCAGACGGCCATCAAATTTCGCTGTCTAAAAGGAGGCCCCCCCTACGAATTAGTGATATGCTGTTTTTAAATGTAAAACGTACATACGACAACCAGTTGGTCTCAGATTTTACATGCGCATGCGTTTAATGGCGCCAAGTTAAACTTTATAAAATTGAAACACATGTGCTATCCTTCATGGGGGGGGGGGGGGGAACTAGTTTTATCCTTCATGGTATACTCTAATGAAAGGTCTCAACGAAACGAACGGATTGTCGGGGAAGAGTGTACTCAAAAAGGGTGATTAGACGTCTGCAAGAAATATATCCATTGGTGCTGTCAAAACAAATGGTGTTTCGGTTTTAAAAAACGCACTTTATCTGCACAGGAGTTGTGCACAATTTATACTTGTTTGTAGTTTGTCCACTATTAACCTCTTCTTATAATCAAAAGCAAAACCGCGCCTTCTGTCAGATCTTCGGTCCGCAATCTTTCAGAAAGGTTTATTTTTCAGTCGATATAAGTAGACCTTCTATTAATTTTATAATTCTATTAAACACTGTATAACGTCCTGATGGTGTTAGAAGTTTGGTTCAAAGCTGGCAAATTAGTTGGAAATAATAATATTAATAACGTTTATTATAAACATAATTACTATGTTATATAACCATCGGCTGGTGTATAAAAGGATACGATGTTCGCCAAAATGGCGACCTTCCACTCCTAAAAAAACAATAGTACGAGTACAGACTAATATAAACAAAACAAATCTAAACTAGTTTACGCATATAGTCGCAGAAAGGGTCTTTAATTACATTTGCCGGTTGTAACCGTTGCGGTGGGGATATTCCAATTATCTTTGAAACATCCGAAAGCTCTCTTCGCTTGGAAGAATCGATTGATTATTAATTTAGAAATCTCAACTCGGCCAATTATGTGAGGATAATTACCCGCAGATAATTAATGTGTGTAGTACACTTCCGTTTGACGTGGGTTTGGTGTCAAATGAAGCGCGCTTAATTAATATGAATGTTAAAACTAGTCTTAGGTTTTTATGGAGACCGAAAGCCGAAAAATTAATTCTAGGTTTAATTTTTTAACGCTTTGTTACCAACTCATGGATTATTCCTGTAAAAGGCTTGGTTTAGAGAGGATTTTTTCAGATATTGTCGTGTATTTCCAATGTGGCCAATTTTGCATTTTTACCGATTAGTCCGTATTTAAAAGAATTTCGCTTTCAGTTACCAAAGCGTTTGATATTTTTATTTCAATTATAAAGGGGGTTGATTTTCTTTTGTTTTGTTAGACCGTAGTTAATAATTCGTGTTTTTCTTGTTCTAGAGCTCATTTGTCAGTAACCGACCGTCCATTTCTCAGTCTGATTACCTGAGGAGTCAGAGACCGTTCCGAAGCCGCCGACCTTGGCCAAAAGCAGGGTTTGCCAATCTTCTGGTTCTCGAATTACCGTACCGCCTCGTCCACCGTTTATTTAATACATTCACATTTTCATATAAATTGTATTTTCATTTGTCTTAACTCTTAAATTTATTTTTTTAAATGCCATTTACTTTTAAAGCAACCGTTTGTGCTCACATTTTCCGAAAAAGTTCGTCGCCATTTTGAACATTTTAAATTACCAATCGCATCTACGTCGACATGGATATTAATTATATTCATTTAGATAATTTATCTCCAAAATTTAAAACTTTGTGTCCCTCACTCACTCGCCTTGGCCTTTTTCAGCTCGTCCTCGTCCCAGCTGCCTTACTCATAGTTTTCCAGTTCTAGTGTCACGATTGTAGGGGTAATAGTACAAGATCCCACATAAGGTCAACCTTAACTAATCTGTTTTCCGAGTGAAATACATTTTTTTAGCAAACGTACACATTGTTAATGGGTTGCCTAAAAAATGTCCAGACTACCCTTAATTAATTTTTCTGTCTGTTTCTATCACATGAAGAGAGCACATGCGCAATCTCTTACATTCGATTAGCTGTTTTTTTAGTGACTCCTGTTCTTTCTTCTGAGCACCTTCCACGGTTTGTGCACCTATAACCAGATAGAAGTAGAAACATGAAAGCTTCCCAAAATCTAAACCGACAGTACCTATAATAAATAGAGTAAGCTCCAAATATTAATATACAAAAAGGATCTGTAAAAAATAGAACCAGAGGTATCTGATATAACAAAACTTCATAACTCATGGAGTAGAGGCAGAGATATGATTGAATTGACTCCAGGTTTAATTATTTGTATTTTAATTCTGTATTTGTCTAAACCTTGAATCTACCTTGAGGATAAGGGTTTCTTATCTTGTTTTATTTTAAGTAACATACACATAATTATTTCTGGTTAGTTATATAAATATATCCAAAATTTGTATCCATATGTAGCCGCTATTATTCTTGTTAGTGTATCCCTGTTTTTGTATACCAATAAGTAGCTATGAAAATCTATTTACTATTTAATGGGTCTGGACGGTGACACCAATTAGGTTTCTTTTTTTGCAGAAACGACTCGATGCCCTCTTGTGTGTCTCTCAAAGACAAGGTGTCGATCATTTCCTGTTCACCCAATTTAAATGCCTCCTTAATCGGCAAATCCACCTGCCTATAATAGAATCTTTTACCATTCATAATAATTGCGCGACTTTTTGACATGATGCTTTGACAAATGTGGTCGACCTCCTTGTCTATATCTTCCTCTTTGCACACTTTAAAAACCAGCCCGTTGTCCTTTGCTTCGTTTGCTGTTAAAGGTAACCCTGTAAGCAGCATGTGACGTGTAACCATAGGGTGTACACAGCGTGCAATTGCAACACCCGGTGTCGAACAGAAAATTCCAACATTTGCTCTGCAATAAGTTCTAAAATATTCAGCCTAAATACAAATCCATTACCCAGGTGTAGCAAATTTGCAATTCGGTGTGCACACTGCAATATCGCACTGCGCAACTAACTGACAACCGGCCGCAAACGCCCCCGCTTTCACCTTTCCAACAACAGGCACGGGACAATCAATTATGGCAAACATCACCTTAGATGCTAAGTGAAAAATTTCATTGTGTACCTCAAGATTATTTTTCGTAGTCTGCAAGAACGGCGATTAACTATACAATATCGATTAACTGATCGTACCATTTCATTCAGATTATGACCGGCCGAAAAAAGTGGACCTTCCGAATCTAAAACAATCACCCGCAAATCGTTATTCTCCCAATCGGCCGATAAATGTTTCAAAAGCTCCCGTTCCATTGGAATTGAAAGCGTGTTTCTGTTAACAACTCAAAGATTAAAAAATGAATTCAAACATTTTCGTACCGTGTTTCGGGGCTAGCCAATGTAATCGTTTTGATTCCATTATTAAACGTCACCTTTGTTAGAGCCTTTGTCGACATAAATCTGTGCAGATTGCCATACTAAAAAATTGCAAGTGCAACAAATTGAAGAGAGAAGAGTGGGTCTTACTCCTGCTTTTTGTAGTATCGATTTTGCAAAGAAATTCATCGTACTTGAGTCGGTTACTTCACTAAACCATCAATAAATGAACATTTAAAATGGAAATTATTTAATGATTAAAATAAAATGTATGTTGTACATCAGATGGATAGTAAAGATAAAATTTATGGCCATTACGTTAAAAGGTTAAAAAATATTATTATGAACAGCTAATGCAACAGGTGAATCATGAGTGTATTTTGAGTTGCATAAGTTTAACTGCCACAATCAGCGGCGGGTTCTTTGAGGGGATACTCAGTAGCGGCGGCATACTTGTCACAAAATTCCTTTTTAATAATTAACGGTAAATTTACACATTTATTTAGTCTTTTTTCTAACTAGGGGGACCAAATATGAAGGCATGGTTTACACTGAAAGTTTCACTAGAACTAGAACTAAATTGTTGTGCATTAATGTACTAGTAGATTCATTTTATACTGTTATGTATGGTGGGTTGCGAGATGTGCTTTTATTTTCGTTTCGCCTTTGTAACTTATTATGAATTGTAGTTGTAGGTATTTTATTAGTTATTTAATTCTTCACAAACAATATAATTTACAAATATACAAATAGAAAATACCAATGTTAAGTTAAGAAGATTTTGAGCGACCTTCTAAACCCCCATACCAAAGATCATAGTGTAGTATGATCAAAGAGTAGCCATACTCTTTGATATGATCTTTCTTTGCCCATACGAAACAACGTCTTCTTGCTCAAGGCACGAGTGTCTGTCCGTGAACGCTTTCCATAATTTCCTGAAGAGCCACGAGAGTTGCTATGACCCTCAAGAAAAAAACTTCGGAAAATACTCATGAGAGTTCTAAACATTTTGGGTGAAACGGGATGCAGCACCTAGGGCTCTCTGGGAGTATGAAATATTGTATAACGTTTTATTTAAGTTCCAAATTAATACTAGTATTCTTACGCCATCTATATATTTCCTTTGTAAACCCGGTTAGTTTAGATTACAGCATTGTATAAAAAATTCAATGATTACAGTGAACTCTATACAAGACAGTGGTGACAATTGAGCCCGTCCGCCATGTTGTGGCAAATTCAAAAAATAGAAACCTTGATTATGCGATGTGTATAATTAATAATAGAATGTATCACGATAAGGAATTTTATTTGCTGGTTTTTAATTAATGTAAGATATATTTGACTGAAGGTTTTCTCTTGCGATTTGCTTTTACCGACGCGTTTTGGCGGATATATTGACGGTTTACGGCCCTCTTACTTCTAGCTTATTCTTTTCTTCGTTATTGTCTACCTGATTATTGTTACCTACATCACTATTCTGTATTGGAACCGTAGAATTTTGGATTTCTCAATATTGCACAATGTCGAATCAATCGCCTAATACCTACATTACCTGGTGACCTACTTCCATGGAAGTTAATTGTTTACACCTTCATTATTGTTCCGGTTTAACTGCAAGTATTTATGAAACCTTTTGACGCTTTTTGTTGCTACGAAGAATAGGTATATCTTCCAAGACCTGATTTGGTCTACGTTACTTTTGTCACTTCGAAGATTCCTTTGTACCACGTCTAAACCTTCAATTTGTACGGACGATTCGTTATCGATCAAAATTCTGCTGTGCTAGTCTAAAGTCATTCTAATTATTGATTCTTATTGAGTATTAAATACTGTTTTAGTATACGAGTACTTGATTAATTTCGAACTACCGCAATGTTTTGTACCGCGCTATTGGCTATCCCTCTTATTCCTTCCTTTGTGTTGTTTCTGTTACAGATAAGGCATAAACGCGCCCTCTGAGCTCAAAAGGCCGTTACGGTCCGAGTTTCCAAAGTAATATTTTTATTTTCGACAACTCCGAATTAGGTTTTCGTGCAGTGTCTCAACGGGAGGTTCCACGACGAACCGTAATCATTGTCACAATGATAGCCTACCCAATAACATAGAAGAATTGCATTTCCTCTGTGCCAATAATCATTAAAGCCTCAAAGTCGAGAACCATCGTCATGGTGTGATCTGCTGCACCGGCCACCAATCACTGATCACATAACCTGGCCAAGAAGAATGGTAGCAAAACTAAACGAGTAAGTTTCGCCATTTACCGTAAAACAATAGCGCTGAAAACGAATTTCTGTCACTACGAATTAAAAATGACATCTAATAGAAGTTACCCCTCGGCGAGAGTATCGCAAATTAATGTACTTCAAGGATCAAGCCCTACCCTAAATGTTTCCAACTCCTCAAAAAATTCGGAGGAAAGGGTATCGGAAAGTGAATCTTCCGAAGACGAATTTCTTGTGAACTGGGGACCGGAAAGTCCTGACCCCAATATATTTTTTCCCGGTGAGTCTGCCATGTTAGAATTCCTAAGCACGTGATACTTTTTTGTAGTTGGATGGGGCTCGCATGGTTTGGAGGAGGATCCTTGGAACGATAAGAATAAACCCTACGTCAAGCTGACGCGCTATGAAGACTTGGAGTTAAACGAAATGGAACAGCAAGGTGTTTTAACGGACCGCATTCTTGCTGCCTGTTCCTCCTACTTGGATAAATCGCCCGAGACTAACGGATTTGTGCTGTGCAAGGCAAATCTTTCAAAGAAGGTTAAAAATCCACGGCGTGACTTCCCTATGTATTTAATTGCGAATTTCAGTTCCTCAAAGACATTAGGATTATTCAGTTACATCACTTTCTTCAATACGTCGATTTGTCCTATAATGACCTAACAAATGTGGAATCTTTAAGTGAACTGCCCTTTTTGATGTATCTGGATGTCTCACACAACTGCCTTGGAAAATTACTGAACTTCAACCCTCCACTTTATTTAACGTACGTTAATTACTCGTTCAATAATGTGGCAAAGATTAATGATCTCAGCTTGTTTTGGTCACTGGTCCATTTAGATATTTCCCACAACCAAATTAAGGTGATTGAAGGGCTTCAAGAACTTAAGTGAGTCTCGAGTGCCTTACCAATATTGCAATGTGTTATTCTGCAGATATTTAAAACATCTCAATTTGTCTTACAATATGATCAAGTGCATCGAAAATCTGAATCACATGCCGCTGCTGAGTTTGAATCTTGAAAGTAATGGCATAGAGACGTTTGAAGAAGGTGAAGGCCGAGGTTTAAAGACATTGCCCGACATTTTGAAATTAAACTTAGACTACAACCATTTAAGTACAATTAAATTCTGTGAAGGAATGGACACACTTCAGTCTCTCACTGTGCAAGCCAACAATCTTAGAGATCTGTTGGAGTTATCTTACTTGAGAAACTTAAATTCTTTAAGTGAAGTCGATTTTAGAGATAATTATCTGAGTAGTTTAGATCGATATTTCGACGCTTGCATATATAACGTCAACTATATCTCGGTTCTTGATGGAGAGGTTATTGATGCCGAGACTAAGGCAAGCGCTCTTAGGGCACTCAATAAATAAGATAACACTTTTTTGTACCTATAGGTGTCTGCTAAAAATGTTTTTGAGGGATCGATTCAAAGTGAAGCCTTTCGGAACGCATCTACAGCTATGTTTATACAGCAGTTAAACGATCCAGTTTTAGGTCTCCCTATTATTCCATTTGACATACCTCCCGCTCCAATTATCATATTAGTTGGTCCGCCAGGTTCTGGCAAAAGCAAGTTGCTAATCAAATTTTGCCGGTTAAACCCGAAGTAAGTAGCTTTAGTTGATGTTGAAACTAAAGAGTGAATTTATTTAGGCGCACTGTAAGAGGTGTAAGTCACACTACAAGACCCAAGCTTGAAGATAACGACCAACACAGTTGGTACTATCACGTTCATTTGGATGAGTTTTGGTCCATGGCTCGCAATGGAGAGTTTCTCACCGTGTCGCAAGTACTGGGCCATTGCTATGGTTTTGGTAACGGAAACGTACACTTCTTCGTTATCATCACGCTTGCGTTTTTAGCTCAACAAGAATTGGCCAAACCCGTGGGCAGTTCGTCTGCTTTGATACTCCACATGGATCTCAAAGGTGCCCTAACTTTGCGCGCACAAAATATGAAATGTCATCTGGTGCTGGCAATGCCTAGCTCGCAAGAAGTTCACATTAGTAACATATTAGACAAGTACCGTGTTTACAACGAGACTATTATCAGGTAGGCAGCAATACTAAGACACGAAATTGCGAACCGACTCGATTTTTAGTCGGAAAGGTGCACCAGAAACAAAAAGCGCCCCGTTGAAAGCAAAGGAATTGTTGGAGAGGTACAGTACAATCGCACAAGAAATAGAGAAAGCTGCATATTATGACAGTGAAACTTGGTCAGATAAAGTTTCACTAAAAAGTAAAGAAGAAACGGAAAGTACAACGGATCTTGAAAAAACGTAGGTAAGAGTTGACTGAAGTACCATAATTTACTACTCAGTCCAACTTCAGCGCGAAATATGGAATATTAAAGAGCTCAATTCACCGAACCAAATCCGATGGTGCACCACCGCCAATTGGCAAAAGTGGCGGCGTTACATTTCAATCCAGAATGAAGAAAAGTCGGACTGTAAATGCCTCGATCAAGTTTGCCTTTCAATAAGCATGTCTGCGTTTCAGTTACTACACTCTTCGCGCAGTGTCACTTTTAACGAAGAAACTACCTCTGGAGCTCCGACGCCGTTGAATCAGAAAAGCATTAGCGGTACAATTCTTGGGGAAACTGAAGTTTTAAGCGTGCTAAGTAACTCAAGCGCTCCACCTACTGAGGATAAGGCGCAGAGTATTTGACGTCTATCCCTGCCAATTCACTTAAAGTTGCGATTTTAGATCAGTTCCCGTGCCCGGCTAAAACCATTACTGGTCCGAATAGCATGGCATTTTGTGTTAATGAAATACTGAAAACGCGAGACTCATATTTGGCTTTCCATCAGTCGAATCCTGGAGTTCTTTTGAGTACAGTGAGTATGAGCACCGACTTAAATATTCATTGTGATTAGATTTTCACGGACAGAGAAGATGAGGCGTTGGAAAAGCTAAAAGGTCTACTGAAATACTGTATACAAGCTCAATCGAAATCGGCGCCAAATTACGAATTTAAAAAGGATTCTGCGTACCAAGCAATTGTAGGCGCGAGGTTAAAGTCATTACATCGTGAAATCGAGAAGTAGGTAGTATGTCATTCCATCTGCACTCACTTACGGACCGATTTTAGTGAAATGTCTATTGGTCAAAAGCAATTGGATGAGTTTGCTCATAAGACCAAGCAAGGAAAACCGTATGAGAGCCATTTGAAAAGGTCAACTAAAGATGTAATCGAGGTAATGCGAGCCAGGCGTAATCAGGTGTTGGGTTATAAGCTACCCGATGATGTAGGGGTAGTCAACAACCCGTCACCTTTGGATTTATTAGACGATTAAATGTTTCTTTTTCTCAAATAAAAATAGTTACAATAAGCAAGTATATATTTTATCTGGCTACTCAGATATTCACAATGGTATACTTAAGTGGGAATGAGTTGACAAACTGAAACCCTGATATGACGATCATTAAATAATGTAACTCATTTAAAAATGCAAACCACAGTTCAGTTTTGTTAAAATACACATAAAAACAGGAAACTACTTGAATTTCTTTACGCATGGCCGTTATTATTATCAATACATTTACGATACCTCTTAGTCCGTATTAAATGAAAACGTCATAGAGATCCAGAGATTCTCGCGTTGTTGACACTAGAGTAAGGTCAGCGCTCTTTGGTAATTGCAGATACTTTAGAAGACATAGAAAAACTCTATGAAAAAAAATGCTGATCGACTCGATGGGATTAAATAGGTTCTCGTTAATTCATGCAGCAATCACAATTTTCTTAACCGAACAATTTCAACGTCGCGTATTATTTGAAACTCGATTATACAAAAACTGAACGTTTCACAAACGAAATTGTTTACTCGAACTTTACACCCAAACGCCGGTAAGCACCCGACCCCTAATTATTTACTTTTTCAGCCATTTTTTCTCTTGCAGCCATTAAAATCGAGTGGACAAAATTGACGCTTTCACAGTTTCTATCCATCCTCTCTTTTTCTTCGCTATTTATATTGCCGGGTAAAAAAAAACGGTAACGGACCCAACGCAAGTTTTGCGGCACCGTCCCTTTTACCCTTAAACCAATAGCAGCCCAGCGTGTTTATCTCGCCACAGCAGACACAGCGAAACAGTAAAGTTCGCTGCTACCTTGGTCTGATCCTCTAAATGTCATGTTTTTTAAATGGGAAATCAAAACTCTTTCCCCAAATTCGGTTTTAAAATCAACCGACTCGATGGGGAAGAAAGGTGTCTGAATGGCTTGACACAGCGCCAAAAATCCTCACTAGGGTAAAACGCTCCTATTAAATCTAAGCACTTTGTGATAATCCGCCCTGATGGTTAGGCAACACACATTTACATCTGAAACAAAAATAGAATATGCTCTGTATATAACCAACGACCGTTTTGCGCAGATGCCGAATACTAGGGGATTTTGGTAACGAAGCTAGGAGAGAATGGAGAGAAGATGGCGACGAGGCCGACGGAAGGCACACGCTTTCCCGGTTTTTTTTGATTATTCTTGATTATTTTTGGTGGTGGTGTTTTGAAGATGTATTTACAGGTAGTAACCATTTTATTCTTTCTTGCACTACATATTTAATCATTGAATTTCTTGCCACAATGTGATATTTACATTTTGCTGATTTTGCATAAACTACGATATCTGAATCATGGCGTACTCCATGCCTTTTGTTTCGTGTACCGTTAGATGAATCATGTTTGTGTCATATTGTACAGATGATTATGCCATTATTTTGTTTAATTAAGTAATTTACTTCTGTTATTCATGAGGAGTTGATTATCGGTGTGATGTTGCTCTGTTCGATTGACCCGTAACAATTCCGTGAGGGAAGCACCTAATACAGTTTGATTGTTCGCTGTATCTGTTACTTTCTGTTTCGTGGCTCGCTACAGTTCTTGTGCGTTAGCTATACGAAGGGGGGCTCTTTTATTTGATGTTTCGATGTTTGTGTGTGCGAGTGGGTAATTCTGTCTCCGTGGAGTAGGTACCTAATGCAGTTAGATCTTTCGCTGTATCTGTTGCCTACTCGTCTCGTGCGGATTGTAGTTCTTAACATCTTAGCAATACGAGTGGGGGCCCTCTCATTTACATTTCCTCTATTTAAAATATGTTCTGTTTGAGCGATAATCGATTTTCACATGAATACTTGCTATTTGACCAATGGCATTCTCACATGTACTTTTCGTGTTAAATTAAATTATGTTAACTGAAGGATGGAGTAGAGCCACACCATTTACATGTTTCCTATGTACATGCAATTTGTTTATTTGACGAGTTGTGTTATTTCTATTTATCGTACAGGTATTTTGATGTTTTTTTGCACTGAATTGATTTATCATGTTTTCCACTGCATTTATGATGTCTTGTGTATTTTGATTGTATGAACTTGTTTAATTGCATTTGATTTGATTATCTGATTTTTATCATACCATTTGAGATGTTTTATTTATGTGTATTTTCTCTTGCATTTTATTGCTGTTGGTGATTTATTTTATGTATTTGTGTGGCCTATGCCAGGGTTTTAGTCCCGGAGAAGGTTTCCCTGGCATGGTCTTGTGTGTGCGTTAATATATTTATTTGATCTTGTCATTTGTTACGCACAAAAGTTCTGTCTTTTATTTAATTCCCTTCCCGATTATGTCTCACGTCCCAACACATAAAAGAACCGATTACACAACGTAGGAGTCCATTCGTGCCATCCATATCGAGCCGACTGTCATCCAAATTCAAAAGTGCCGCGAGACTACCATCGTTTCGACTTGAAAGGTAGGTGGCTCTGCTTGTAGTTTTTGTCAGAGTTGCCAACCATAAGTATAGGGTAAGTCAACGTTTTCCGTGTCGGCTTGATAGACCCCCCCTAGGAACATTACAACTTACAAAATGTTTTATCGCAAATAATAAGGTCGTTTAGATGCAAGTTGGATTTACTATCTACCATTTACTTTCGCAATAAGGAGCATCTGTGCCAACATTACCTAACAAAGACAGAGATATATTTTACACTGTGGTAGAACACCGCACATGCGCAGTAGCGTCCGAATGTAAACAGCTGATAACCATAGGCGTCGCAAAAAAGGATCACTTCATATTAAGTTACGAAGCCCATATTTTGTAACTTCCGCATAGATTGAAATTGCACTTTATTTGCTGCTACGTTCACCGCAAATTAAACGCACCATTTCAATTATTACTTTCGTAAAAACTACTCGTGTTTTCTACTGTAATGTAATAACACCGTAAACCCCTCTATGTTCTACGGAAATAACACGTCAATGAAATGTCGGTAATGTCAATTTGACAGACAACTCAGTGCGCATGCTCAGTATTCTATTGTATAGCTATCTCCCTCCCATAAACCTCTCCACCGGACAGATTGCCGGATGCCGGTCACAGAACACCTGATCCCGGTCTACAATGTATGTTTGTCCCAGTGTTTTTCTTAAGATGCGAGTGGCTTCCGGGATATTATCGTGTCAATGTTGAACGAAAACATGTAATTGGAACAGATTTAATGGCTGAACGCTATATCTATGGAAGATTGTCTCACATAGTCACCATTGACACGGCCATGAAATAACTGCCATAAGAAATACGTAGTAAACTTCGAGGCAAAAGTGCAAAGTTGATTTCCAAATGAAATACTAAGAAGCAGTCAAAAATAATTAGTATTACAAAAGCAATTACTTGAATGTAACATATATAACCCCGAAGGTGCAAAATAGTTATTAACTAAGACGCTAAAGAGTTACGGAAGTTGTTTCTTTGTTGAGGGTCGAATCTTGATATCATGACCCGTTAACCCATTTCACAGCGTTTCATTGGCCCCATTCCTTCCACCCACATATCTCCGCTCCGTTCCGTACATGAATACCCCTCTGACAACTACATCGAACAGCTACGTCCTTGTTCTAAAATAATTCTTGAACCTCCTCTCCCCCATTCACCACACCTGCGAGTCATCGCCCCCCCCCCTTTCCTTAATTTTATTCTCTTATCTGTTCATTTACCCCATTGTTTCTTTGTATTTGATACGATAAATATTTAATTTTTTTTACCTTTTTTACTCTTTCCTCCTTGCATTTCTTTTTTCTCCTTTCTCCTTCCAGGCTTCCACCCCCTTTCCCAAATCTCATCAGTCATCACCTTCGACGTTTCTACATTTAGCTCCATTCCTTTCCTTTCTATTCGTCCCATCATTTCCTTCATCTGTTCTCTCTGTTGTCATGATCACTGCGTCGATCACGTATGCGAGGGACCATATCTTTCTTGTTATCACTACTATCCCTCCACCTTGACCCTGTCTTAATACTTTTTCTCTTAAGTAAAGATTAAATAAGTTTGGACTAAGTGGGAATCCCTGTCTTTTAGTCCTTTACATGTCCAGAACACTACAGACTCCTTCCATCCTATTCTTGTCTCTCCATATAATTTATTCACGAACTTTCCCATCTTCCACACTTTGTCCCTTTCCACTCTTTCAAAAGCTGCCATGCCAAGTCCATGAAAATTTGTTTTAAAATCAAAACCTTTTACAGAAGATCTTAAGGTTGGCTTATTTTTGTTCTCACCTATGGAGTGGTAAATTCTTTCTTATGTACCTACTCCCGTTTAACATAGTTTTTCCTACAAGATTCATGAACTTAATAGTGGTTGCGTTCTTCAATTCCTCCAATATGTTATCAACTTTTTAGGAGAATTTTTCGAAAGGCCCGTGTCCATGGAACACCGGCCGGTGAATACGCCACTGTTACGTTACAATGTTCTGTTGCATGTCTGTACGCGCCTTTAGGCTAAGCGCGCACTTGCGATTTTATGTCGCACGATTGTTCAGTCGTAAAAATAGTCACGCGCCTAAATTATTTTTTTCACGATTACGATTGCGCCCAATCGCAGACAAAAAAAACGCAAGTGCGCGCCTAGAAAAACTCACAAGTTTCTGTATCCGTACGTCCGTAACCGTCATTCAGTGTTGTTTTCTTTTTTCGCTTGTCTTTGTCTCACCCGACGTTTGAAATTTCCTTAGTAAGTATGCCAATATCATTAGCAAAACAAACAAACAAAGCTCTCTAAATGCGTCCTAAATAAGGGTAGGTATTGTTTGCGTAAATTTTTTATTTCATAATACAAAGTGAAAATGTTTACATTAGTAATATAAATTACTACTTAAGTGTATCTAAACTTCACGAAAATTATGAAATTAACGTCATCGATAATAATAATATTAAGTAATGAAGAAAATAATACGCTACACTCTTTTCAATCTTATCACAAAGAGTTTAGGACAATGTGAAGGGGTGAAAAACAGTA